CTTTCTAGAATGACTGCATATTGTTACATACAATAACAATTATTTATCCTAATATCTTTAGTCCTCTAACCTTTTCATAACTGTTTATTTAATTTTATTGTTTTACTGATCTTTGAAACACAATAAATAACCCAGTGTGAGCATAGTGCAAGTTATGACTGCATATTGTTACATACAATAACAATTATTTATCCTAATATCTTTAGTCCTCTAACCTTTTCATAACTGTTTATTTAATTTTATTGTTTTACTGATCTTTGAAACACAATAAATAACCCAGTGTGAGCATAGTGCAAGTTATGGTAAACAAAGCATTGAATTACATCAGCTCATGCACATCCTTGGGAGAAAAGTTTTTTTATTGAATTTTTTCTACCATTTAAGTTTTCTTACCTAACCTAATAAATTTCTAATTATTTACACTTTATTCATTTTTATAACAAAAATAAACAAGAAACTTAGTACTTAAGTGTGGGTCTTTTGCTATTTTTGTTAGGGTTGTTGTTAGTACTAGGCTAGAAAGTTACATTTAAGCTCAAGGATATCTATAGTATAATTATGAACATTGGCACAAACTCGAAAGTTCATAGAGGTAAAAAGAACATCTAACCATGGACAATTCTGAGCAAAGTGTCACATACTAGAAAGAAGAGAAAATCAAGCATTTATTTAAACATTTCCTTTTAAGATTAAAAAATTAAAACATAGATATTAAAATTTGAATTATAAACTAAATTATAAAGTTTAGTGATATGTAAACGATAACAGCTTTTTAACATTCAAACATGCCTCTAAGTGGTTGTAACATGCACTTTGACCCTACCAATATACACAAGATTAAAATGTTCCAATTACATTCACTGAAATTAATTTATAAAATATATATTTTTTCATTTCAGTTTTCCTGTACAGCTGGGTCAATGTGTGCAAATCACAACTTTTTGAGTTTCACTTTAAATCTAATTAAACTTTATTATCAAGTTATGTCAACAAACTTGACATCAAAACAGTTTGTGGCACTTGATTGGATGTTGTGCAGCCAAGCAGCTGCACATTTTAGAGGGAACACTGATCTCGGGCAAATCAAAAGGCAGGGGGTTTAGAATTTTGATGGTATAGTTCGTATTTCTAATTGCTTGGACACTGAAAGTCATATTATGGAAGATGTTACTGATAAGGGAGAATTCAAATTGTAGATGTCATGTGACACAGAAGTGAAAATTAAGAATTTTTTAAATTTCATTTAGAAATAAATTAGAAGTTAGATAAAATAAAAAATCTGCCGCACATCCTCAGTAATGGTGAGTAGTCTCAACACGTTGACAGCCTTAATGACCCTGTCAGTCAATAGGCCTAAAGCCCAAATATCCAACTGGTAGTATTGCAAAGCAAGCTAATGATCCAATAGAGTCAATGGTCTAAAAATACCACCACCCCCTAAAAAAAAACAAAAAAAACTGGTAGCGTACATCCACACACAAAGCATTGATACTGGTGCACATGGAAAAATTCATTCTGCACATGGATTGAAAAAATTAGAGGGAACATTGGCCGAGATATCAATATGTATATAAAAACCAATAGAGAAGGCTCCCCTCCTCCTTTTCTTTTTATACACTTTCTTAATAGCTCTTACAAGGCTGACAGACATGTTAACCAATAGAAAGAGCATTCTCTTCTACAGAAATCTTAGAAACCCATCATCCATTTGCATTTTCTACATAAACTGTTAGTTAGCAATAGCATTTGGTTTTATGATTGTAGTTCTTTGCTCCAAGGGCTTACAAATTTTAACCTTCTTATAGCTTACTTAGAAAGCCATATAAATTATGAGTATATGATATTATGTCTGATATAGTTCATGTTCTAAAATACATATTTGAAACCTACAGGAATTTTTATTTGAACAATTAGCTTTGAAAAAAAATGTGAAGCCTTATATAGTTATGGCTTTCACTTGCAAAGATAATACAGGTCATACACTTTGCTCACAGTGTTTACAACAAATTGCTAATGGGTTCTCAGTGTGATTTATTGCTTTTGACAGAGGTTGGTGGTCCAAACTACAGACAATAAAACCATAAGGTTAAAAACAAGTAGGAAAAAGGTTAATGGTTGAAGTTATAAATATAAGAAAATTGAAAATCAAAATTATGCATTCAAAAAAGAAATAGTACTGTTCATTTTATCTCGTATTTTTAAACTTTTCATTTTATTGTATATTGATGATTTCACTAGTGTTAGGAAGGAGAAACTAATAGATGATGTTTGTCATTAAGCACAAAGATACACAAGGGGCTATCTATGCTCTGCCCACCATGGGTATCAAAACCTGGATTCTAGTGGTATAACTCCACTGTGCCACTGACGGGCAAGAAACTAATAAACTAAACATAAAATTTTACCAAAAAAAAAAAACTTTTGTTATTCACTAAGGAGATTCAGTATGTTATGCAAATGAAATCCCATATGACAAAAAGAATTATTTTTATTCTTGCCAAGTAAATAATCTTTCAATCAAGATTGTTTCAGCAAAAACTTCATGAATTCACAGACAAATCTTTTGTAGAAATATTTTATTAAAAAAATATCCTTTTTTTGTACAAAACAGATTTAATGTTTATTTACAGCTGGGCAAATTTTGTGAAGATACACTTACTAAATTCAGTGCTATAGTATGTATAATTTCACACGTTCAAGGTGGGTCAAACTGACTCACTTCATATGAAGAGTTAATAAAATACAGATCATTAACTATTACTTAACCCATGTATTTTTCCTTCATTTCTTCAACTCTGTTGCTCATTATATTCCCCTACTACTCACATTCATTCTGAAAACTTCTAAAATACACTTCGTGCATATTACAATATGAAAATTTCTCTTTCAAATACAAAATTAAAATGAATACAAACTATACCTGTTCAGTACCCTCACTTGTGGGGTTAGCTGGACTGTAGGGGTATTCGTTTTCTTTTACATTCCTACCATTTTTCTCTTGTGGGCTATTCTGTGCTTCATCAGTATTTTGTCGTTTAGGGTGAGAACTTTCACCAGGACCTTGTTGCTGAATTTGTCGTTTCTTTTGTCCTCCTCGAGGACTTTGTTGTTGAGCTGAACGTTTTTGTTGTCCTTCACCAGGGCTCTGTTGTTTTCTTGACCGTCTTCTTGTTTGATTCCTTCGATTACCCTATTTATGTTAAAAGACAATGACTATTTTCAGAAAAAGACAGGGTTCATGCAATTTTCTAGTTACAAAATTAGATGAGTTTCAAGATTTCAAAACCCATTTTCTACGCTCACTATCTTTCCACAATCATCATCAGTATTACAAAATTTGAAATAAATTAATTTTCAGCATATAACCAAGTGACCAAACCTGAAAAAGTGAATTTTTAAGAATATGAATAATGACAAGTACATTTCCACATGATAATACTGCTCAAACAAATTTAATGAAACTAGTAAATAAAATATGGATTCTGCTGTTTATACAAAGTTGTATATACATACTGATAATTTCAAAAACCTTTGATGGACATAGCAAAATCTTTGTTACAAAAGTGCACAAACTTACACTAAAAGACGTTTAATGACTTGGAATAGCCTTTTTAAACCCAAGAGAAGGGCACTGGTGAAAGAATATCGAGAATTGGATATGGACTTACAGATCTGTTTCTTCCTCTCATCCTGTTTCTTTGATTTCCTCGTTCATAACCACCCACTCTCTCATTTCTACTCCTAGATTCCAAAAATCCCATCATTTGGCTCATGTCCATTCCTCCTGTATTCAAGCCAAAGCCAATGCCACCACCAAATCCACCACCACTTTCCCTCATTAGCCTCTCCATGTTCATTAAGTCTACAAGGCTTCCAAGTCCCAGTCTCATCTGGTTCTCCACAAAATTTGGTCCACTCTGTTGCCAAGGGCTTCCACCAAAACCTCTTTGAGCCATGTTTTTATTTTCTAAATTGATGACTAATTTTTACTGTATAAAAAAGGGAAAATAATTCACTGAGGCCTTAAATTAAAATGCAACAATTGAAAAGACAAAAAAATAACATAATTTGTTTATCTGGGAAAAACTTGAAAACAATCAATAAAAATGCAACAAGTAAGTTCAAGTTTCTACTATATATAGTATACCATGTTTAACCTAATGTTACACAAATATATGCAACTTACATCTAAACAAAACTGAGTAATGGCCGAGATTTTTCATCACAACAAGAAGTAATAATTATAAATATACATTACAGGTTTACTTAAAAATAATTATTGTACAGTGTGGGAATGAACATTAAATAGGCACTCTACAAACCAAATAATCATATCATTTTTCTCTTATTATAGAATACTTCCACAAACAGTTACTGAAGTGTGAAAAATGTTTATTGAAGATTTCTTCTTGAAAGGCATTTTAATATAAAAAGCCTCAGCTCTTTTTTTTAATGCTTGCACATCAAATTTCATTAGCCTAGTTGAGCATTATTTTAACATGAAAAATCTGTCACAATTATATAAATTGCATTTTACAAGGATTGTTTAAAAAAACATTGGTTCCATAAGGTGAAGCACACAGTTTACAAGCATATTTTATGTTACATTGGAAAGAATGACAAATTATCATATTTTCCACAACACGTATTGAATGGTTATTTATAGTATTCTATAACAGATACAAGATTTAATTTTTGCAGTGTGTATTGAAACAAATTGTACTATTATCTTAATCTCTGATCAAAGCAAGCTAACTATGTAAATCAGAACTAACAGTTAAGCCAGTGACAAATATAACCAATATACCATTCTTACTTCTAATGATCAGAATGCATTTGTGTGTATGATAATGATAATGGCAGGTTAGATTTAATTATCAAGTACAGAGCTCCTGCAGTTATAAGGATAGTGTATGCAGTGTAGCTCTTTCGGGAATTCTTCCACGTTAAATGGCTTAATTTATAGGATTGCTCTAAAGATAAATTATAGCTTTTCCCACACCAGTCTGTACTGAAATAGGTCAAGGATTACTTTGGGGAAGAAGTAAATGACTTAAATAAGAATTGCTTGTATTGTTCAAAGTGAAGATTTTTTAAAAACTGGAATATTTTAATTGACTTTATAAAAGATTTGTGACAAATCACTCAGGTTTTGTTATTTACATTGATATACTTTGAGATGCACACTTATATGCAAAAAAAAAGGCAGATGCTACAGGTTTTGAAGAGGATGCCAAATTCTCAAGTTAAGACTGGGTCAAAAACAGGAAAGGTCAAGATATGCAGACAAATGAACCAAACTGCAAACATTCATTCAGTCCTAAATATCTGTAGCATTCACTTTAATACTGATCAACTTTATTTTTGCATGTTCTAATAGTATCTCAAGCAATTTGATTGTAAGATTCGTATTTCAATTATTTTATAACTTTTATAAATGACATTTCCTAGGATTTTGCTGTATCTATATAATGGATTACTTTTAGAAGTTTACACACCAGCAGAATAACAGTATCCTGTGAGGGTTTGATATGAAGAATCCAACCAGTGTGGATTTGCACATCATGTGTACATCAAAAATTTGCCTGTGTTGTTATTAGATCATATTTTTGTACCATTTAATTCTTTTGAAAAACATGAAAATAATCTAAACTATGATTCATTGAGATTGTATACAATCATAAGCCATTTCTGTGTAATAAAATCTATTAAACCCTATGATGTGTGTGTGTGGTTTAGAGCAAAGCCACATTAGACTAGCTGCTGTGTCCACACCTCAGGGAGTCGAACCCTGGATTTTAGCATTCAAGTCCGCAGACTTACAGCTGTCCCTCCAGGGTACAAACCCCATAGCAATTGCTTGTTTTGGATAATGTCACTCAGATACTAAAGGTCAAACTCTCCTTAAGTTGAGACTATACTTCTTGAGAAAAATCCTCTACTGGCAAATTCTGCACTTCTATTACAGATTTCAATCAACAAACTCACACAAGGATTCAAACGAGTGAATAATAGTTTGGTTATATAATTCTACAGCACAGTAATGAATTATATTTGAAAATTAGCATACTATTTACCAACAAGACTTAGATTTTTTTTTTTGCAGTTCACAACATAACATGTGAAAGCACAAACCCAATTCAAATGTCCTGCATGTACTTTCAGACATTTTTTACACTGCTAATTACATGCTAACCAAGTAATCAGCCACGTTTATCTGTGTCAATTAAACTCATGTCCACTAACATCCCTGCCAATCATCCACTTAAAGTAACGACCAGCAAAACTAAGCTAACTGCAATCCATAGTACAGTTAAAGGGAACATTAAACCTGAAAACCTTTCAATTACTACTGCCTCACATACGTATAACTTCCATGTCTATTGGTAAACACGAGAATGATCATGTATGAATGACCTGCATGGCACACAACTACTGACAGTCATGTATGAACAGCATTGCATCAATTGGTATATACGAATAGCCGCTACCAAAAATGAAGACTGGAATTAAATTGGATGCGTAAGGAGAGCTTTGAAAACCCATAGAATCCTTATGTTTTCTGGGTGACACCAAGAGGTCAAATGACCAATCTCATTTCATATAATCCCAAGGTTTTTGTGCTCTAGCCTTCACATCCAGCATCAAGTTTTAATATTAAAGTAACTGTATAAAACAAGGGCATGAACATTTACATTAGGTAAAAGTATTATAAATCAATCCAAATTCACACTTTACTTTAGAAATTGTTTTTCCAGTAAAACTAAAAATACATTAGATGTTAAAAAGCCCTCCACAAAAAGACTGCTGTGATTACCAGACTCTTATATTTCGTCCACACAGAGAACACGTTCCCCTCACACTTTATTACTAAATAAAGTTTGTCAGCACAAATTTCCTGATATTGCCTCAGATTAAGAATATGTACAATATTTGCTTGCTCAGTATTTATATATTTACTCCAATTGTGTATATTAATATACAAATAAAGGTTTCTTTATACTAACCAAAATAGGCTTCATTTGTTATTTTAATCTTTTTACAATACTTTCTGTGCAAATAATTTCATTCAACCAGATGACATCAGAAATTCTCTCTCCTGGTACCCATCCCCCTCACAATAAAAATATTTTACACTTTGGCGTGATTTGACACTGATAGAATAACTTTGAGAATATTTATTATTAATGCTTAAGTTAAACTTAGTGTGGCTGACATCAAATTGATATAATTATTATAACTTACAATAAAACTTAATAATACTATATAGTAGTATTATACTTGTATACAACTGATAAGAAAAATACCCATTTCGCTTAACATTAAATATGCGGGGATTTACTAACTTTCTACAAAATTAAGTAATGGGCCTACTTTTGGTAATTATAAGTCAAATTATAATTTAACAGTTGTACTACTGTTATTGTTAGGCTTAGCAAGGATTTGAATTCCACAATGCTTAGGCCTAGTTCAATAAATTAAAACTAAGACTAGTATTAGTAAGACTAAGGGGACTAACTGAATTTTCAGTTACAAGACAATATTAATATTTAGTCTTACAAATAATGAAAAATCAGTGAAACAAAACATACCACTATTTGTAGCTAAAAGTAATACTAATAAAACACTTCTATGCACAATCTTTGTCTATAAAATACAACTACCGCAACTTCGTCTCTCCAATTTCAACCAGCAATTTTCCCTAACATTGAGAAAAAAAAAGAATTGTAAACTAATTAATGTTCTCAGCGTCGTCTGAATGAAAATCACGTGATTTCAACTACCAGCTACTGAGATATGATGAAATACTTAATTAAACAACAAGAAATTTTAATAAATTGAGACTTGAGAAAATCTAACGCTATAAAAACTCGTTTCCTAAAAACAGACACATTTATATTCTAAACAGTGTTTCGGGTGAACATAATAAAAAAGACAAATAAAAACAATTTGAAGGGTTATTTTTCCGATTATTGATATTTCAATCAGTCATGGGTCAGGCTTGGCTTAGCTGGTTGCTTTATAGATTGCTGATCAAAATGTTAAAGGTTTGAACACGTTCCGTTATAAAACTGACAACCAATCCAAGAATTTGGTTTAGAGTAGTCAAGTTGACGGCGGGTGCTGCTGGCTGGTTGATTTCCCTTTGGTCAGTAATTCTGATTTAGTAACTTCTACACCCGAACTTTGAGTATTTGACCTAGATGTTTAGCTCATATATCGCATAAAATACCATTAGTGTTTAAAATACCAAATTTGTAATAGTTAAAAATCATGTAAGACAAAAAGAAAAAATAGTAAATCCCGTTTGTGGTTAATATAATGTGTCAAAAATCTGGTCCAAATTGCTATGAGGGTAAAATTCAAGTAGTAGAAGTTTCTATAAACGTGGGAGGGTTTTAAAAATATAAGAATAACATACTAACTTTTGAAACTAGAATCTACATCGAAGATATGATTACTACTGTTTATTCTATATGGGAGTGTGAAATACTCATTAATTGTTATGGAGCAGGTTTTGTGTTTTAGCTATATCATTTTGAAATTTTCAGATCATTCGCACGGGGTGTTTTCAGGTAATGGTCTGACATGGCTAGGTGGTTAGGGCGCTCGATTTACAATCTGAGGGTTGCGAGTTCGAATCCCCGTCCCGCCAAACATGTTCACCCTTTCAGTCATGAGAGTGTTATAATGTACAGTCAATCCCACTATTCATTGGTCAAAGAGTAGCCCAAGAGTTGGCTGTGGGTGGTGATGACTAGCTGTCGTCCCTCTAGTTTTTCACTGCTAAATTAGGGACAGCTGCCGCAGATAGCCCTCGTGTAGCTTTGCGCGAAATTCAAACAAACCAAACCCAAACGTTTTCAGGTAAATTAGGTATGTCGACAATATAAACTGTAAAGTAATATTGAGTTCCATTAAAAACAAAAATTGTGTCAGTGTTACAAAATAAACGGATTGGACACAAAGCATGATCCATAATGAAAAGAATATTTGTTTGATTCAACACATGATCAACGAGTGTACTTCACCTTATGAACAATGGACTGTCGCCTTTTCTGGAGTTGGGAATTGATCAGACTAGCTACACTCATTCAAAACTTATTTCAAACTGATCAACTCACTCAAGATGATGTTCCAGACTGTTTAATCGGTAACGTGAGATTTATTCAGATCGATCAGTGTTATCCACGTAACTGATCGCTTCCATTCAAACACAAGGGAAGCTGTAGCCTCGAGACATCACATGATCTACTATTGGAGGACATTGCTATCGACCTTCATTTCTTGCACGAGGTGTAGCTTTACAGCTATCCATCCATGTGAGACTAGGTTATCTTCAAGCGACTGACAAAGAACAAAGATGGCTAGAACGAAATCAATTTTACTAGCTTCTTGAACACACGTTATGCGAAAACAGTACAAAACTAAAATGAACTTCAAAATAAAAGGATAGAAAATTCATGGTATGCTTGCGTACCACAAACAGATAGATCATTGAGTAATTGAGAAACAAAACTTGATATTTTAATAAAACAGTTAGTATATTTTATAATTCCTTGCATAATATTAGTTGTTCCTAGGGTAAGCACATTTGTTAAAGTTCGACATCTTTTAGTTATAAAAAAAAACAATCCAATTCAAAATACAATTTCAACAATACCTAAATGGTAACAAAATAAGAGTAGCTACTTATTTACATTTTAAAACAATGCTCTGCTTTTCTCCCGATTTATCTGTTAATTCCTTTTGACGTACATATGCCAGATCGTATGCCCTCCATCCCGAGAGCTCAGTGGTCAGCTTGAGGGCTTATAATATTAAGATTCGAGGTTTGATCCTTGTAGTTAGGACAGCACTGAAAGTTCATTGTGCAGCTTTGTGTTTCATAGCATAGCTACTCATTTGTCCAACCTCCATGACTCAGTAGTAAGTTTGAGTTGGCCAACCCCATAACTCAGTGGTGAGTTTGAAGTGTCCAATCCAATAACTCAGTGGTAAGTTTGAAGTGCCCAATCCCATAACTCAGTGGTGAGTTTGAAGTGCCCAACCCCATAACTTAGTGGTAAGTTTAGTGGCCAACCCCATAACTCAGTGGTAAGTTTGAAGTGGCCAACCCCATAACTTAGTGGTAAGTTTAATGGCCAACCCCATAACTCAGTGGTAAGTTTGAAGTGGCCAACTATATAATTCAGTGGTAAGTTTGAAGTGGCTAACCCCAACTTAGTGGTAAGTTTAATGGCCAACCCCATAACTCAGTGGTAAGTTTGAAGTGCCCAACCTCCATTACGATCTTCTGTAATACAACACATGACAGACTGTTATTGCTAACTCTATTCAACGCACGGGGAAGACATAGTGGCCAAAACCCGTTTGCATGTCTTTCAGCATTAATTTGTCTTCACTTTGTTTTTTCAGGAGCTTCATTTTACCATGTCAATTGTTTCCCCTCTGCTTCAGTTATCATAGTTTTGCTAAATTTTCTTTGTTTTGTCTTTCCATCCATTTTCATTTCCTTGTTAAGCGAGTTTTTCTTTTCTTGCACTGTTCTTTAACTATTTTTAGTTTAGAGTTTATTTCATAAATGGTATTAAAAGTGATCAGTTGAAATGAAAAACTGGGGTGGCATGCCATAAACATAGCAACTTTTAATTCAAATGTTAATCAATATCTCAAATCCCTTATTTAATGTATAATGTTATTGAAAGAATTTACTATAAATATGATCATTTATAAAAGGAAAAAACAACAACATAAAATTGAATGTTACAAGGGTTCGAACACAAAACTCCCACAAAAAGAGTTAAAGACTGTGATTACTGAACTACTTTGACATTTAATGTTTAAAATCCAATGTTAACAAATATTAACTTCAAATATAACGGTATTCGTGTGTTTTTTTGTTGTTTTTTTATTGAAAGAACTTGCTCTAAGCATGGTCACTTATTTAAAAAAATAAAACATCCTATATATGTACTCATGGGCATCCACAGAAAATTTTCCAGGGGTGCAAAGTAGTGTGAAATTGTGAAGTGAATAACACATCCATATACATATTCTGGACGAATAAAGATAAAATTGTGTTTCTCATTGCGCTGATGCAGACCCGGAACAGTTCATCATTTATTTTACAGTAGAAAGATTATAATATATATACTATTAAAATGCAGCTAATGAGAGTTGTATTCGCCAGATGGCGAGGCCTACCCACCACTTCACAACTTGACAAATTTAAAATTATACTAAAATTGAAAATGGCGTCTCACAGATATACTCATGCTATAGTTTGTCGTATTCCCAATAGTTTTAAAACGAAAGCTCTTGGAATCTGGGGCGAAATTGACTTGGATGTTGCAAAACGTCAACACGAAGAATATTGTAAAGTACTTAGAGGCATTGGTCTGGATGTTATTGAGCTTCCTCCAGATGAAAACTTACCTGACTGTGTTTTCGTTGAAGATACAGCCGTAGTTTGTAACGGAACAGCATTGATATGTCGTCCAGGGCACCCGGCGCGGCAAAAAGAGGTGAGGCCACGAATATAGAAAGATGTATACGTATGTTTTCTTCTATTTAGATTTAAGTGAACATCAAGGAAATAATTGACTTTCTTGTGCTACTTCGTCTTTTAACTTTAATTATTAATATTAGTGAAAATGTTCTATGTACGTGATGTGGTAATTAGTAATACTGATAGTAATATTTTTTATTACTAACAATATACATTCAAAATTTGTAGATCCTCGCTGGGCGTGGCTGGAGGAGTACGTAACATCTTTTTTTTTTTTTACATCTATACTGAGAATAGACAAAACCACAAAACAATCTGGTATATATTGAAAAGCTCAAATTTTGGTGTGGAATGTAAAGAAAACAGTCAATTTACGTCAGAGAGGTATTAAATTACAGTAAACTAAATACGTTATACAAGCAATCGGGAAATGCATACTTTCTGAAGAATCTTGTACGTTGCTTTTAACAACAAAATTATCATTACCAATTACCTAAAATAGGATATACAGTTACTGAGTTTTTGGCACATTAATTACTTATAAATAAACAAAACTATACCACTACAGATTGTAGTTACGCTGTCTTGAATAAATGTGTAACCAGCGTATTTGTTAATATACACCTATCACAGACATTCACTTAATGTACTAGAGCTCAAAACTTTATACGAAAAGAAAGACAACAAGATGATGTGTAAATTGATATACATTTAACACGTCTGATTATGTTGGCAACTAGATCAGTAATGAATATACCCTTATGCAAGTGTGAATTGCATTGCTAGTTGTATGTACACACACAAAAACTAACTATTCAACCAATGTACAAAATTATGTCAAACATTAGTGCTTATAGTTTGTCATCAATAAGAAATTTTAATTATTATAGAAATAGCAATGTTCTGGAAGACTGCCAAGGACATTTGACAATTAATTCCAAACATTATTAACTTGTTAGGAAAATATTATACACATTAGAATAGATGAAATAGATAACATACATCAAATTATTGTACATAGAAAAGGAACAGGGTTTATTCTCTCCAGAATAAAGCCCTGAATAAAAGAATGATTGAATATAAGTGAATCTCTATTTGTATAAAATTGTACAAATGTGTAACATTGATGTGGCCCAATCTATTATTTTTCTAGACTTGTGTAAATATGGGTTTGCTGGTGACAGCTAAGAACACAGTATTGTGTACTATACTCCCCCCCCCTTGTCTTGTTCTTTCTATTTCTCCTTATCCAGATATACTTATGAGGAGTGGAATTCCCCAAATCTGATATAACCCAGTGCCAAGTGGTCAATCAAATGATCGATTGGGGCTTATATTTATTATTAGTGATATATATTTTCATTTATTAAGTAATTTTATCAATATGAAAGAACATTGTAAGGGTTGAAATATAGCTTGAAAATACTTAAAATTTTGTAAATAATATAGCTTGAAAATACTTAAAATTTTGTAAATAATATAGCTTGAAAATACTTAAAATTTTGTAAATAATATAGCTTGAAAACTACTCTAGTGTCCTTTGCTGTTTACTAATTTCCTGTGACAGAAGTTTCTTCAGAGAAAGTTTATGATTTCAAAGATGAGAAATATCTTTTTCTTGGGGGGGGGGGTCTGTTCATGTATGTTTTCTAATTAATATCAGATAAAAGTATAACCCACATTAGATATACATTGTTGAAATATGCTTGACCTGACTTTTCAATAATTCACTTTGAAACCCTTTTCATTTGTTTTGAGAGAATAAATTTTTGTATGTGCTGGGGGATAAAATATCTGATTTAGGTGTTTATAGTTATGCTTCTCATTCATGAGAGTTTTTTCATTTTTTATTCCCATTCCTGAGACTAGTGCATGTATGTAAAAGAAATGGGAAAGAGGGGAGAGTCGGGAGGAGCTAAAAGCCAAAACAAATTCTTGAGAAATCCTTTTTTGCAGTTCATAAATGTAAGAGATATCCATCAGTGTGAATTGATGAAGTATCAAATACTGTAGTACGTTTAGTTTCTGCATTTTTGATTGGTGCCTTTGATGGATTTCCTGCCATTTCAACCAATTGAATAGCTTGTTATTTATCATGCTTGTCATCATCTCTGCCATCACCATCACAGCTAATAACAGATAATATAAACATAATTTTTAATTTTTCCAGTCTTGTGTTTGAAAAACAAACTATTTACATAGTAATTTGTCTAGAGTGAGAAGTACATCCTTGTGAAAATTTCTCACGCTAGTTTAGCCAGTTATCTGTATAACTGTGACTAATACCCCACTTTAAATTTGGGGAGAAATTTATTGTGTAGTCGGGAGAGTTCCAATGGTTTTGAGACAAATGCCAGGTTCGTTCGAAGTAATTTAGTAATTTCAAGTACGATGCTTACAGTAGTCGTATCACGAAGTTAGGAAACATCCATTGTGTTACATTTTAAGTGAATGTTTTGTGTGTGTGTGTGGAATAATTAATTTTCAAAGTAATTTCTATTATAACTTTAGAAATTATACCACCCATGATTACTATATTTGTAATTACATTTAATTGCACAATGTCAGTTGAATACACAATATAATCAGGCCTAGCATGGCCTGGTGGTTAGGGTGCTCGACTCGCTATCTGAGGCCCGTCGGTTCGAATCCCCATCACACCGAACATGTTCAGCCTTCCAGCCATGGGGGGCATTATAATGTGGTGGTCAATCCCACTATTCCTTGGTAAAAGAATAGCACATAATTTGTCGGTGGGTGGTGTTGACTAGCTGCCTTCACTCTAGTCTGTCACTGCTAAATTATGGATGAGTAGCAAAGATAATCCTCGTGTAACTTTGCACAAAATTCAAAAACAAACAAACACAACATAATCATGTTCCTTAAATGCTTTTTGTTACAACCATTTAATCCAGATGTTTTATCGTATCCAGTAATAACTTGAATAGAAGGAATTAACAGTATTGTAACATTTAATCACTTGTTTATGACTATAATGATAAGTAGTGACATACACTTCTAGATTTTGAATACTGAGTAAGTGACTAACTTATTATTTCAGTAAATCATAGGTTTTTCATAGTAAAATTAAACTAGCTAGGAACATGCACCACATTATTTTACTAGGTGCTAGGAACATGCACCACATTATTTTACTAGGTGCTAGGAACATGCACCACATTATTTTACTAGGTGTT